TTGAGTATTGCTACATATAAGCCACTGAGACCATTTAATGTTACTCTGACCACTTAGGGTTGGATGATGTATCAAGGGGCCTGTTCCTAAAGAAAACGTTGCTCTCTTTCGGCAACCATTAATTTCCTGTAGTTTACCAGGCATGGCAGTGCACAACTTGAATAAAAAAAAAAAAAAAGACAAACTTTTGACCAAAGCAGCTAAAAGAGAAAGAAGACCCAAATTAAAAAAAATGAATTTAGGGCCTTGTGTGATTTCCTTCACCCACACTGGCAGGTCAACTGGTGTCATATACAGGCCTGGCCTAGAAGGCCCTCTCTCACCGTCTTTCTGCAATGGGGCTTAGGTGTAGGGTTATATTATAAATGTTGCCCCCACCAACACCAGTTGTGGATTTCTGTAATGGGTTCCATATGCTGAACCATCCCTGCAATCTTGATCATGGTGAATGACCTTTTTGAGATAGGCATGTCTGTTTGCAAGTATCTTATTAAGGACTTTTGCTTCTGTGTTCATCAGGAATGTTGACTGTAGCTCTCTCTCCCTCTCCCTCTCTCTCTCTCTCTCTCTCTCTCTGTGTGTGTGTGTGTGTCTGGTTTTTGTTACGGGAGTAGAACAGAGGTTGTTTCCTTCAGTTCAGAAAATTGTTATCATACATGAGTTAGAATAGCAACAAGCTCATGCTTCTGAGTGCTGAATAAGATTTCACCACACATATAAGCTGATTTGATTTCCTGGTTGTGAAAAATAGGTGTAGCACTAGTCCTTGTAAAACACTTTAGAAATGTCTGATTTATTTAAGGTGTCATCTAAAATATTATGAAAAGTTTGACAAAGATGTATTTTCACAACAGCTTTTGTCAGAGCCAGAGTGACAGCTAAAGTCTTGGATGGCTTGTCTTTTTCTACAAGATAACCTGTATCAGAAAAAGCAACGGTAACCTGATCGACTCAGGAAATCAAAGTGCTGAAGTTGCCAGTGACAATGCAGTCAAGTGCTTAGAAGAAGCCTGGTTGAAAAATGTAAATACTTTCTCACTCATTAATCTCCAACTGCTGAAGACAAACAAAAAGCAAAATTAACAGGATTGTAAATCGAGCACGGAGTCTTGTGCTTGCCTTTCAGGCCTGCTGAGAAGAGTGAGCTGATCAGAGCAAGTGAATTCGCTCAGAGCGCTGAGGCCAAGGCTGCCTCAAGTAGCACATAGCCAGTGTCTATTATCCAGCCTGTTTCAGGAACAGGTGAATCCCATAATTAATCTTGGCTTCCATTTGGAGAGAAGCAAGCAATCTACCTCCCTGTCCTCTGAGTTTGTATGGTAATCCCCTGAGTTCTGGGGGAAAGTTTTTAAATTGGTGTAAAGACTTTTTCTGTTCATCCAAACACATGCAGGGGAAATAAAGAGTAGGGAGGGGATCTGAATTCCTGAACTGGAGGCTGTTAAGACACCCCCCTGGAAAGCTGTTGATTGCTACCTTGCTTAGTTTGATGCATCTCACATCTCAACACACAGAGCAAAGCCTCTGTTAATGAAATAAGGGTCTTTTGTGTTTGCCTTTAAACAGTTTCGTGTATTGTGGTCTGGCCTTAAATACTATAAAAATAAGGAAGACATGGGACTCCTGATCCTCCTGCCTCTACCTCCTAAGTGCTGGAATTACAGGCATGCATCATTTATGCCTGATGCTAGCAAGTTTTCTTTAATTAAAAAAAAAAAAAATTACCCAGAGACTTCTGGAGCCTTACCTCACAAGCATAGACCAGGAAAAGGCAAAGATCTGACATTGGAAATCTTTTAAATACCTAACTCTTTACACAGCAGACTTTTGAGAGTTGTCAAGATGACATAGCAGGTGAAAGTGTTTGCCTGGTGACCTGAGTCCTATTCCTGGAACCCATATAAAGGTGGAAGGAGAGACGCCACTCTACAAAGTTATTGTCACAGTGGCACACGTGGACCCACACAAGTAATCTTTTTCTTTTAATTTTTTTCATATTTGCATTATTTTCTATAAATGTTTATTTTTTTTTAATCAGCGGAGGCTAGAGAGATGGCTCAGTGGCTTAAAGCATGAACTGATAAGAGAGGGATTCCTGGCACCTACACCAGGCAGCTCACAACCCTCAAACTCCCTCCAGGGTGTCCTCGGCTCCTTCTGGCCTCCACGGGCTCCTGCACACATGTGCACATAGCCTCACACAGACACACATGGATACACATGAATAAAGGCAAAAAGATCTCTAGAAAACAAAACACAATAGGCTTTTCAATCGTTCAAATTATGTTCCTAGTTTTATATATTCTAGATTCGGGAAAGTAAATAAACACCTGCCCTGTTCCTTCCTCTGTGCCTAATTGACCTTTTTATTTTTTTTTAAGTGGCATATTGTGTGAACAAAATACAGTCATCTCTTGGTATTAAGGAGCTAGTTTCAGGACCTTTCACTGGTTCCAACACTAATAGGTGTTCAAGTCCTCTCTATAAAATGGCACCATATTTGCATATAATCTACAAGCATCATCCCATTACTTTAAATGATCTATAGTTTAATTATAATGCTTAATGCAATATAAAACGTCATGTAAATAGTAAATAACAACAAAAATATCTAAGCTATTGCATATAACCTGTGGCTATCCACCTGTATAATCTCTAGATTATTTATATTATTTCAAACAATGTAAATAGGAGCAGGAGAGATGGCTCAGTGGTTAAGAGCACCGTCTGCTCTTCTAGAGGTCTTGAGTTCAATTCCCAGCACCCACATGGTGGCTCACAGCCATCTATACTGGGGTCTGATACCCTGTTCTGGCGTGCAGGTGTACATGCAGAGCACTCATACATTAAATAAAATAAATGTACAGATAAAATAGTGTTAAAAAAAAAGAGAGACCAAACAATGTAAATAGTTTGAGGGAGCAGGACATAGTGAAACACACCTTTAATTCCAGCACTTAGAAGACAGAGAGACAAGGCAGATCTCTGTGAGTTCAAGGCCAATCTGATCTGTAATAATGAGTTCCAGGACAGTCAGAGATGCAAAGACCCTGTCTTTAACAAAAATAGTTTATGGAATGAAGGGAAAAAGTGTACATCGTCAGTGTGGATAGGATTTTATCCTGAATGACTTAAATCCACACCTCTACTGGCAGCAGGGAATTTCTATGAGAAATAAGAACTTCGTGTGCTAAAATTAAGTGCTGAATGAACTGGACAGTCAAATAAAATTAAACCACAGAAGGAGGTCTTTCTTCTTTGAGGAGACAATAAGCTGTGGGCGAAGGCAGGGGATGCCGGAACCGTGCCCTCCGACCTTCACAATAAAGAAAAAAGGTGAAAGAAAGTGAGAGGAAGGCTTTCATGAACTGCAAAACCTGGTGTCACTCCCCTTTCGGAAACTACCACTGGTGGCTGAGTGTAGTCATGTGACGTCCCTGTAGCAAAGTGTTCTTATTAGAGACACATATCAAAATACTGTCAAAAGTTTAAAGTTGGTAAAGTTAATAAGGCTCAGTAGATAATCTGTGCTGCCAAACCTGAAGAACTAATCTTGACCCCTGAGACCCATATGTTGGAAAGGAAGAACAGGTGTCAGAAGTTATCCTCTGCCTTCCACATGAAACCCAAAGCAAATGAAATTCATTCATTTAAGGCAAAGTTCAAGGTTAACCTAAATTTTTGTTTTAAAGTTCTAGAGGTCACAAAGCTAGCAAATAACAAATGTGGGTCAACTTTTAATCAATTCAATCCTAGCTACTACTCCAGAGCCCCTGGAATATATTTTGTTTTCTCACCACCTACCAAAACCTCTGCTCTCAAATCCTGCTAACTTATAGCGCACGACAGCTGGACCCCATCTGTATTTAAATACCCCGTGTATATATATTCTCATCCACTGGACAGTAAACCCTTGAGGGTACAAATCTCGTTTCTGCAATGTGTGACACATCCTTCTGCAGCAGAAAAATATCGTTGGTGTCTGACGTTTTTCTCCACCTTGTGATAGGGCAATTCTGAACTTGATGAGGTCAAACAGGACATCTGCTTTTATGCACCAGAAAGAACATGGATGGGGGGGATACAAAGTGAATAAAGTGTAATTAACAAAAGTTAAAAAAAGAATTCATTGGGCTACAAAAGGAATAAACTGTAATTAATAAAAATAAAAATAGGGTATTATAAATTAAAAAAAAAAAAGGAAGAACACGGAGCATGACAAGCTGACGGACCAGATTTTCAATAAGTACTTTGAATAAATACGTAAGTTACCTGCTTTCTTGTGACTGAGTCACATTCCCCAAACAGGCATGTTTGACTCCCAAGGAAAAAAGGACGTGGTTTGAAGTCACTTTTATTCTTTAACATTTTAAAATTGGTCACAATCTCTCTCGTTTTATCCTCATAATCACGCAGAGCATGATTTTCACTGTTTGAAAATATGAGATGTGGGGAGGGGGGTGGTCTTGGGTTTACCCTATGGCTAACTCGTAGCAATTATGTTCAGCTAAATGCCACAAAGTCATATGTGGGGACTTGGAGGCGGCACTTGGAGGAGGCATGCAAGGGGGAAGGATACAAGTTAGACTAATCAATGTATAAGCCTTCCTCCTGGAATGACGGTGTTAAAGTCGCACGTCCTCGGGTGTGACGCTGTGGAGACAAAAATCTTCTCACCGCGTACCGATTACGTCTATGACTTTAAGATGTGGGATAACGGCAGAGTTAGAGCGGCATTAGGGAAAGCATTAGGTGGTATTTGCTAGATGCATTTTTGCAGACAGAAACAAGGAAAACTTGACAAACAGCCTTCCCAAAGGTTTGGCTGGATCGACAGTCCACCGAAAGGGCGACCTGACGCTCCCACAGACAGACGCGTCGGCTGCGGGAGAGCTCGCTTGAGGTGGGCGGGGCCCAGGAGCTCAGGCCGGGGGGCGTGGCCGGGGGCGGGCCCGGGGCTCCGGGGGCGGGGCCGCAGACGGCGAGAGGCAGCCTGGGAAGCCGCGCCATATTGGCGGCCGCAGCGCTGTATTGTCATAAATAGAGCCGGTTTGGTGGTGTTTTCACTACTCGGTTGAATGCCTCGGCTGTAGAGAGTGGGAAAGTGAGCGAGCAAGCGAGCTACAAGCGAGCAAAGGGAAGTGGACAGAGGAAGGAAGAGAGGGCAAGAACAGGACCCCAGAGCGAAAGACACTCGCTGGAGAGGGACGCAGGAAGCGATGAAAGAGATGTCTGCGTAAGTGGGGGCGGCGGTTGAGGGCGAGGAGGAGAGAGGTGCGCTGAGATGGGCAGCCCCCGGCGTCCAGCGCTGCGCCCCGCACCCTGCACAGCCGGCCGGGACCTCTGCTTCCGCTGCCCGCCACTCCGCAAGGGCACCTCCCCTCCCCGCGGCTCACCTGGCCGCCCTGCGGGGATTCGGGGGTCGCCGTCAGCATCCCCGCCGCCCGCCTCTGAGGACGCCCCCAGACCAGGGTGAGGGGGGAAAGGCGCGTGTGGCCGAGGAGAAAAACGGTCGGTCACTCTCCTGCCCCAGCCCTGTCTGAGCCCGTCTGCTCCCGTCTGCATTGGCGCAAATACCATCCCCCTGCCTCCCCCTCCTCCTGGCCGGACCCGCTGTCTTCAGGTCTTCCGGAGGATGACCAAGCCCAACCCATAGGTTCGGGGTACCTCTATGAGAAAGGCTAACCCCCCTACCCCATTCCTTCCCACCGATCCACAGTATCTACCGAGCTGTCTCCCCTGCTCACACTTTGATAAGTCAGAAGCAGTTTCTGTACTTGCCAAGAATTTATTAGAGCTTCTTGCCTTTCACTTTGCCGGGAAATAATTTAAACGTACAGAAAAATGCACAGAAAAACAGAAACATCATTTGTGTAGCCACCACCCGTTTCTCCCAAATAATAACATGGGATGTGTTCTTACCTTTTTAATCTTTCATCTTTCTTTGAAAGAAGTCAAGCATTCCAATACATCTGAAGGACTCGCCTGTCCCTTCTCTGGTTCCATTCACGTTGCTCTTCTGAGGCCCCAAAGTACTGAATTTGGTGTTTATTGTTACTGCGTTTTTAATGTTGATACAACACATTCGTGTGTCCATAGCCCATTGTACTTGTTTTAACTGTTTATAGGTATAACACAGTTATTACTTTGCACACTGGTTCTTTAGAGCATGCTGTCTCTGACCTTTATGTTAATATTTTCATTTCTACTTAATTTTTATTAACTAATGCATTCCATTTATAAACTCACCCCAGTGTAGTCCTGTTAGTGACTATTTGGGGTTATTTAAAAGTTTTTTGGTTTTTTTTTTTTTTTTTTACAGAATGTCAATGAACATTCTATTTACCTATCTTGTGTACCTGCAGTAAACTTTCTGTAAGTCTTTTTTACTCGTAAGTGAAATACATAGGTTGAAGGGTATGTGGGGTATGTCCTTTACCTCTCCATTCTTCCACAAGAGAGGTTTAGAACCCTAGGTTTTGAATTCAAAGCCCAGCAGAATCCTAAATAGCCAACTTTTTGAGGATACAAGTAAACTGAAACAAGGAATTATATTGTCAGAGCTGAAGTAGTTATGGAGGGGAGAGGTGGGGAAGAGGTTTGTTGAACCTCAGGCCCTTGTATGTCAAATAGCACTTTTTGAAACCTGCCTCTCAGAGTTGCTGGTGGGATTGATTATGTGAAAATCCATCTGTGCCATGTATTTATCACACATAATCCTGCCCAGACAACCTTATCTCTCTTAGATATAAAAACAGCAAATCTTTAAGGAGCAATAATAATTGAAATAATTAATTGAAGTTTTGTTTGCTCTACAGCAAGATAAAAATGGGAGAGAAATTAAAGTTGGTTTTGACACTTTTGTTTTTCATTAAGTCATAGCAAAGGTATATAGGCTGTTGAGATGAAGTTTCACGTGGCTCAGAGTGGCCATGAGCTTGCTTCTGTCTCTGTCCCTGGACTGCTAGGATTAGGTCTATGCCTCCAAACCTGGCTAAGCCATCGTATCTTCTGTGTTACCCTTTCTTTCTCCCCATCTCATAAAACCTCCAGCTGAAGAATCTAACGCTTTAGCTTGCGGGCTTCGTAGTAGTAACTAACCAAGCCACTGTTTGGTTAGTTTGGTTTTGGTGCGGAGATGGAACTCGGGGCCTCCACTAGATAAACACTGTCGCTGATCTATGTCTCCCACCTCAAGCCAGTGTTAAGCAGTTAAAATGCAAAAAGAATTAGCCACTGTTGTGTTTCTGTGTTTAGAATTATAGATAGACATATGTGATCAGTTTAAAGTAATTGGCATGTCTGTCACATTTGCTGATTATATAAATATGTACACTGTAATTAATTATTAATCACAGATGTCCTGCAGTGCTGTAGAATATTGGAATTAATGGTAGAGCCAGGCGTAGTAGCACACACCTTTAATCCTAGCCCCATGGTGAGTTCCAGGACAGTTAGAGCTACACAGGAAGACCCTGTTTCAAAAAGAAAGAAATCCTAGTGTCAATTACACCTTTCTTTGGTGAGGTGTTGCTGTGTAGCCCAGGTTCTGAGCTCTGATTCTTCTTGAAGGGATTACAGACATGGGCTTCTCCATTTATTAACCTCTTTTTTTCCTCTGTTATTTTTTAAAGGGCTAATTTACTCATTAAAAAACTGCCTCTTACTTTGAGATTACGTCTTACTGTTATAAACAGTTCTTTTTGCAAGTATGAAGAAAGGTGGTTAGCAGGTTAGGGTGTATGCTCATTTTTACTTTTGCAACAAACTTTACTCCACAGCTTAGTCATAGATGTAGTCAGAAATTCTGTGGTGGTTTTACTCAAGATAGTAATTTTCTACTGGGTAAGGTCAGTCACGTGTATCCTTTGAAAGACTGCTATTTTAATGTAAAGAATTTGACAACTATTCAGTGTGAAAATGGTTGTGTTCTAGTCTAAAATGAGAATATTAAGTACGGTCACAAAATGTTAGAACTGTAAACTCTGATCCGAGGGAAAGGTGTTTTTGAATGTAGGTTTCCCAAGGGTTAGCCTAGTTGTGATTTGTTTTTAAGGCTAGATTATATCCTAAGGACCTTATGATAGGATATTTTGTTCCTTTACTTGTAGGAAGACCGTTGTTTTTACTAAGAGTGTCTTTCAAGTGTTTGACTGTTTTTCAGAGATTCCGTAATCTAGATGGTACTTGACTCAGTCTTCAGGGACTAATGGAGGGCCCTGACATAGGTCCCATTCAGGCTCTTTGCATTTGAACTGAGTGGTGTTGATATGGTTGTCTTGATGCCAACACACACTGCTTTGGGCCTGAGAAGACATCTTAAGCATGGAAGCTGTATGAAGAACTCTTCATAAAGACAAAATACCCACCTTTCCCTTTTTGTTTTTTTAAGTGACTTCTTTGGTAATGTTCCACAAACTTTAAGGTAGCTCAGATAACTTGAGTGGATTTAAGAGGTTCAGTGTGTCCATATGAAATGATACTTTAAATTTTTTCCATTGTTTCTTTTTTCTTAAACAGAAACACTATGCTGGACAGCCAGCGTCAACAAAAGCATTATGGAATTACCTCTCCAATTAGTTTGGCGTGTCCTAAAGAAATTGATCATATTTATACACAGAAATTAATTGATGCCATGAAACCATTTGGAGTATTTGAAGATGAGGAAGAATTAAACCACAGGTATGTCATTGAAACTATAAAATATTTTTTACAGTACACTTCTTAATCATTAACTCATACATCTTGAATGCCTAGTGATTCCTGCATAAGTGTATAAAAATGCCCCCCAAAAGAACAATTTTGGTTCTTTTGACTCTAATTTTTAATCTAGATTAGGAAAGGAGGCTAACAACCAGTCAGATTAGTACAGTTTTAAACATGATTAAGTACTGGTGGGAAAATAAATTTGAGGGTAGAAGTCTTTAGAGAAGACCTCATTGGAAGGAAGGGAGCCATGTGGGTGTGTAAAGGGAGAGTTCTGGGCAGAAAGCGTAAGGCGAGTGTGTATATTGGTATATTTGAGAGATAGGAAGGAGCCCAAAGGATAAGGGCACCTTGTAAGGCACTGTAAGATTTTTGGAAATTGAAACCCATTAAAGTTTTGAGAAGAAGATTGGCATGATCTGACTCATGTTTTAGCAGTTACTCTGGCCATTGTTTTTGGAATAGTCTTAAGAGTGGTGGGGGTCAGGGGACAAGAGCAAATGCACAGAGACTAGTTAAAAGGTCGTTATAACAACCTAGGTTGGAAATAATGATACCTGAAACCTGAGGATGGCACTGGAAATTAGTATAGTCTAGATGTGTTAAAGGTAGGATTGTTTAATGACAAATAGAGACAATTCCCAAAGATGATTCCAAGGTTTTCAGTCTGCATCTTACTTGATGGACTTCCATCTTCTGGGGAGGACTGAGAAGGGAGCAAGTTTGGAAGAACCAAGATAGTTTTCATGCTGTTCATAGGGTGCCTAAGCTCATCTTTTTTTTTTTTTTTTTTTTTTTAATATGGGTGTTTATGCCATTGGTTTTAAGTTTAATAATATCAAACTGCATTAGCTAAGTACTATTTCCTAAAAATTAGCCAATAATTATCTATTTTAATTACACAAAAACCCATGAGTACCAGTGAGAAAGAATGCTAGTCTCTAGTGTGACACTGAGTTGATGTCATTCTATAGTAAAGCAGAATTGGACAGTTCTGTAGCCTCTAATTGAAGGGTACTTGGTGATTTATAGTAGGTTTTTAAAAACTTTTTGAAGACAACTCAAAGAACAAAATATTATTACAGTTATCATGTATGACACTCTGAGATCTCTCAATGTGCTAGCAACAGCTATGATAGCATGAACATATATATAATATGGATTTAATGTAGCATCAACACAATTTCTACCTGTGTGTTTGTCTCTTTAATATTATTTACTTTTTGCCTTAAAGTTTAAATCTAAAGTTCTCATTTTTTATTATAGGCTGGTTGTTCTTGGTAAATTGAACAATTTAGTAAAAGAATGGATTTCTGACATCAGTGAAAGTAAGGTAAGATTGAAACTGCATAGAATTCATTTTTTCATGTTTTAGTCATTCATTCTAACAGTGATGTATAAGAGTCAAATTATCTGAAATACTTTAAAATAGGCTCTGCATTTGTGTTTAGTAACTTTATACTGTATATGAATGTTTACTTTGTATCTTTGGAAGGATGCTTTTCACCTTGCTTGCAAAAGGCAGTTTTCTTTTTCTTTGTTGTGATTGTCTTTTTTGCAGAATAGTAGCATGTCCCAGGTTGTATGCAAATGAAAGACAGGTCAATGCATTAGTCGACTTTCATATCTTACAACTATATCAAAAGTCTTTATTAAGTATTTTACTTTAAATGGGTGTTTTAATTTTGTAGCTCTCCACTTTGACTTACAGTAAGTTAGCCATTAGTTTCTATATTGTACAACAGTAACAACAAAAAACAGCCTGACATCTTTGGGAATAAAGTGGTCTAGACAGCTGGACTTGTAAGTAAATGAGGTTTTACTGCAGAGATAGCTAATCTAATCGTAGCTGCACATCTATAAAAATGTCTGGTTTGACTCACATGTGCTGGGCCAGAATTCTCAGTGTCAGGAGGTTTCACCTAAAAAGCCAGACGTTAGACTCCTTACAAAGTACCCATCTGGCAACACTGGCCTTGCTTTGGAGCACAGCACAAAGAGCCGTGGATGAGATTGGGTTCCTGCTCTACAGTGTCTCTTAGGCCCAGTATCTCTGTTTTCTCTGACACGGTCTGCCCTTTATTAATTTCTGTGTTTCTCGTGTGAAATTCTCTTAATTGCACTTGCTTTGATCTTCTGACATAAGGTTTGCAGATCCTGGTTTATAATTATGCAGTATTTTCCTTGTGGAACTTACCTAGTTTTTGTGCCTTAGAGGGTTTTGCATGGTGAATTGTTATTGTTGCGTGACTAGTTCATTGGCTAGGATGAGAGAGGGCATGTTCAGCTAGGGGGTCAAAGGTTTTGTTAGTCAGCTTCTTACTAACTCCTGAGAGACTGACTACTTAGGAAGAAAAGGTTGGAGGGTCAGGTCCAGGTTCAGGTGATCAGATTGTTTTGAGTTGGGGTGGTAGTGACTGTCAGAGCTCCACCTAGGAAATAACCAGTGCTATCCTACATAATCCCGTTGAAGGCACGCTTCTGTGACCTAGGAGCCTCCCACCACCCACCACCAGCCTCTTAGAGTCCATGGTGCCTCCAGTACTTGGCCATCCTAGGAACCAAGCTTGTCACTGTGGGCACCTCTGAGGAAACATTCACTGCTCATATCTAACCATTTGTCCGGTCGCCAAGCGGCCCTAACTCTTGCAGTTTAAGTGGTTTTGTTTGTTCTTGAAGTATTCTTATCTCTTCCCTTAACAGTACTGACTTTAAAGTAAATATCTCAGTGTATCTTACGGAGTTTACTTGAGACTTTAGTCCTTACATTTAGTCTAATCTTTATGTTAATCTTTATGTTAATCTTTTGTTGCCAAAAGGTATCTGGCTCATTTCTGATCCGTGAGGAGCATTATATCAGTAGCTAAGGTTGCTTCACAGGTTAAACTCTGGAGCTGAAATGCTGTCAGGAGTGATCGAAAAGTCAGTTATAACATCTATTGAGTAGATAAAGTAACCAAGTCATTGTATCAGTGTTATACTTTCATTCGTGTATATTCTAATCTGGGAATAAGTAACTGAAAGTTTTAAGCTAAGTCAAAGACTATTTGAACATTGTTGAGATACTCTAGTCAAAAACACAGCAAAAATAAATTTTAGTTAAATTCTGTGGCTGTGTAAAAAATATTTTATCCTGTAATTCAGCATATCACTTTCTCATAAAAATGCAGGGATCATCATGCTCTTTCTTTTTTTCTTTCTTTCACACACACACACACACACGCACACACACACACACACACACACACACATATATTGTTTTGTTTTCGAGGCAGGGTCTCACTGTGTCACTCAGACTCTTTCAGAACTCTCTATTGTAGCCCATGCCGGCCATGAACTCACAGAGATCCCCTGCCTCTGCCTTCCAGTGCTGGGACTAAAGGTGAGCACCACCACACCCAGCAAGTCTTATCCTTCTTCAACATGGAAAAGTAAAATGAAAACTTGAAATGGCCTGGCTTATTCATCCTTTTTACTAATGTGAGTCATTAATGAATTTATTGACTCCTTTCCAGCTAAAGATTCTTGAAACACAAATATACCTTAAACAGGAAATAACTGTGTCTTATACAGATAATTTTATTCAGGTTAGTCACCAGTAATCTGGAACTATGGTTGGGGAATAAAAAAAACAGTAACAACTCCAGTTTTCACCTCTGACCAACTTAGTTACAGTTGAAGAGCTGAGAGTTACATACTAGAAAAATGTCCCTGGAAGAGAGCTCGGTTGATAGAGCGCTTGCCACACTAGCATGAGGCCCTGAAGTCAGATTCCCAGAGCCTGGTTAGCGATAGGTAGGTTGGTAGGTAGGTAGGTAGGTGAGTAGGTAGATAGGTAGGTGAGTAGGTAGGTAGTTAAGTTGGTAGGGTGGTAGGTAGGTGGTGAGTAGGTTGGTAGGTAGGTGGTGAGTAGGTTGGTAGGTAGGTTGGTTAGTAGGGAGGTTGGTAGGTAGATAGGTTGGTAGGCAGGCAGGTAAATAAACGAGTGTGGCGCCATCCACCTTAACCTCAGCGCTGGGGAGGTGGAGACCTAAGGATCCTCTCAGCTAGTTGGCGAGCCAGCCTTAGCCAGTTAACAAGCTATGGGTTCAGTGAGAGACCCTGTCAAAAAAAGAGGATAAGTGAAGAGTGATCAACAAAGACACCTGAGTTGACCTCTGACCCCATCTACTCGCACAAGAACATATATACATACATCCACTCCACACAAGAAGTAAATGTAGTGTAAAATAACTTACAGATTGTAATGGCAGAGGGACACAAAGAAGAAGCTTGTTACAGAGGTGAAGGTGAGCAGGGATGCTTCATAGAAGGGAATGGAACTGAACGTGAACTTGGCATGAATACTATCCACTGAATGATGGGTAGTAGTAAGATATTGATAGGATGAGCAAGCAGGCATTCAAGGCAGGGACATTGACAAATGACATGGCGAGTAGATTAAGTCATAAAATAAGGTGACAGTTTAAACTTGAGGAAAGGGAGAACATAGAAAGATTTTCAGTAGCAGGCTCCAAAATCATTACTTCAGTAGATGAAGAAGAAAGCACTGGTGGTTAGCTGCGTACAGGCAGTTCATGAAACAGAAAGGGTGAGTTTTACAACCGAGTAAGTAGTTACTCTTACAGACCGCAGAATAAGGGAAGCTGAGAAAGAAAGCAACATATGTGAGTACCATAAAATAAAAGTTGATAATCCAAAATCAGATACGGATATGGCAGTGCTAGCCCACTATTCCGGCACTTGGGAGGTAGAGACTGGAAGAGGAAGCGCTCCTTTGAAACCAGTCTGAGCGACAGGGAGCCCCGTCTCAAACACAAACAGACTCAGCCACAAAAGAATAATAATGGTACGCTTGTACAGTAAGGGTATTGAGAAACAGACATAATGCATTAGAGGAGATACCTAGCTTTTATCATAGGAAGAATGTTTAAGGTAAAGATAGTAAGTAGATCAGAATACAAGTAGAAATATCTGATAAGCACTTGGAATTGGCCCCAGAAAGAGGTTAAAAGGTAGCTTTTTAATTATGATACAATCAAAGAAATTTAACTGAAGTCTTTCCATTAGCTCTCATAAAGTGCTTTATCAAGAATGTCCTCATTCTTGAAGAAGGCTGAAAAGCTAAAACCAAACAATTAAACATATGTGTAACAAAAACTAAAAGGAAGATGGGATTGGCCAGGATTTTTTTATTGGAAAAAGCTGCGATTTATTACTTTGATAGTTGAGTTCCTTAAAGGAGCCTTCGAGTACTTTTACACGTCTCTTAATCAGGATCAGCAAATGTACAGTATATCAGTTGTGCAGCAAAAGACTGCAGGCGTTTAGGTGCTCTTTATGCAAAATAACTTAAATGATTGAATGCCTCTTGCTTTATTTTAGAATCTCCCACCGTCTGTTGTAGCTACTGTTGGTGGTAAAATTTTCACATTTGGATCTTACAGGCTTGGAGTACACACCAAAGGTAACTGCTTTTTACTTACGTTCTAGTGGTTAGAATTTTTATTAAACTTTTTTACTTGTTCACAGTTAGCAAATACTGAACATAGTTCCCATGATCTTACTTCTGTTAATAAACATTGTTAACATCACCTTACACTCATCTTTCATACTTAGTTCTGTGTTTATGTTTATGTGGGCTCTAATAGAGATATAATATATCCTTTTTAATAAGAATCATTTTATTCTGTAGGCGCTGATATAGACGCACTTTGTGTGGCCCCAAGACATGTGGAGAGATCAGATTTTTTTCAGTCCTTTTTTGAAAAATTGAAACATCAGGATGGCATTAGAAACTTAAGAGTAAGTAGCCTTTTGCATGCACTGTTTGAACTTAGAAACAGCTGTAAAAGCAAGGACTTAGGATTATTGACATACCTCTTAGGTTGCTGTATCTTGTTAACATGCATAGAAATCAGGAACATGGCTTTATGGCCCTGTAGACTGCTTTTATATCCGAGCTATGCCTGTAGCTCTGCCATCGCAGTCAAGCCGCCATCTGCCTGAGCCTCAGCTTTCTCATCCAGAAAAGCAGAGAATTGCTGATAACTTTCGTCAGGTAGCTCTGAGGATCACAGCACTTACTGTGATATCTGATAAACGATTGACATAGATCCAGTTGTGGGTGATGGGTGGAGGGTTCAGTTGATGACCGTGTGTATATCTAGCCTTCTATGAAACACTGGCGTCAGTTCTCACAGCATGGTTTGTGTGTATGAGGTGATCGTGCTCTTGCATATGTGTCCATATGAAGGCCACAGGACAGCTCTGAGTGTCATCCTCAAGAACAGTGTGTACCTCCTGGCACAGTGTCTGTCATTGGCCTGGAATCACCAATAAGGGTAAATTTACTGGTCAGAAAGCCCTCGGGAACCTCCTGCTTCCTCCCTAATGCACCACTGTGCCCAGGATTGGATTCTGTGGTCCCAGGTTGGCAGGCCAAGCACTAAGCCAGCCTCTACATACTTCTATGATGGACTGTGTAGGAGTTCTGAATAACTGAAACTTTTTAACATTAATACTTTTGTGTTTTTTTCATGCATCCCAGGCTCAAAGTCTTTGTGTAGCCACAGTGACCTTGAACTTCTGATCTAGCCCCTAAGCACCAGGACTGGTTGCCACACACTTTACACTTAAAGTAATCACTTCTCAATGTGCACTCCAGAGATACACATACAGGTGACGGTAGCTCTGTTCTCCAGGTTCTGACAGACATTTGCGTCAGGACAGTTGGACAGCAGGTGCAGACATTGTGTGTGGCCTAAGGCGCAGTTGTGGAGTTGAGGCTTAACCTGCATAGACCAAGGAGGTCTCTACCCTTCTCCCTGAGCGAAACTCACACCACAAGGCAGCATATGCTGCTGGCAGTCAGGAAGGGTAAAGGCTTAACTCATGTGTTTTGTTTTTGTCTTCCTCTTTTATAGGCTGTAGAAGATGCTTTTGTACCTGTTATAAAATTTGAATTTGATGGTATTGAAGTAAGTGTTCAATTTTTTTTTATTTTTACAATTGAAATATTTAATTTTTAAGTTTGTTTCAAAATCAGAGTTAGCATGCAGACATTTTTGTTTGGCTTGGGGCCTGGGTTTTTAAATAATCTCACTGTGTAACTCTGGCCGGCCTCCTGGGTTAGAAGCACAGCTGTGCACCAGCTTGCCTAGTGCTAACCACACAGTTTAAAGATTAAATCGTCTTTCATCTTCTCTCCCATCTCTGTCGACCACTCAGCGTGGAAAATGAACAAACCTCCATCTCCCTCATGCTTTTTGTTCACAACCTTTCTCATCCCCGTGGTCATCTAAAATAATTGCACTGTTCTGATTTCGTTTGAAGTAGTGCCATGTTTACATTATTATCTTAAAAGGTTTCAAAGCTCAGTACGAGTATACTGAATTACCATTCCTTTGCTCTGTGACATTTCCCCCCCTCGAGAGTTAGTGACTATTTACTTCTGTTTGTTCGGTGGTTATACTTATGTCTAACTTAAACCCAGTCTTCTATGGTTGTCTGAATCTCCTTTAAGCTAAGAGTCATCAGCAGCTTAGGAAAAAGTCCAGAGCCCTCTCACCTGCTCTCGTCTCAGCTGCCTGTTGCCCATCGTCCGCACAGCTGTCATCCTGTCGAGCTCTCTGCAGCTTCCTGAGAGTTTCTAGCCCTACTGTAGACTTTTCTTCTTTCTAGATATACTACCATCTTACTGGAGCTCATCCATTGGATTCCTGAATAAGAATTTGTTTTCTTTTTATCTTGCATGCTTAAAACACTGAATTCATAATTTTGCTGAGTGCATCATTCTAGGTAGGAAATTATTTTTTTTACATACTTTAAGGCCTTCATTGTCTTGTAGCTTCTGGGCTGTAGAAAAGTATATTACCATTTTGAGTTTTTCTTTGTATATTTGACCAATTTTGTCTCTTGTTTTATTTAGTGTTTGTTTTTATTCTGTCTTCATACTTGTAGAATTCATGATGATAATGTCCTTTGTTGTGTGTTTTAAACTGATGTGCTTGGCATGCAATAGTCCTCTTTTAGACTAGAAAGTCCTTCAGTTCTTGGATTTCCTGCCTTTGTTTACACACACGTCTTTTCTGTGGAATCCTAACATTTCTGTGCTGAGGCTCCAGAGAACAGCTTTCTTTAAATAAATAAAAACACAAACACGCAAAATTCTCCTTTCTTCATTCATTAACCACATCTTAATGTATTTATTCTGCCTCTTGGTGTTTTCATGTCTTCTAAGCTTTATAGTAATTTCCACTGCCCTATTTTTAATTTCTGAAAATACTTTTTATATTTTCCAAATGTTCTTTTAAGTTTATTAATGTATTTATTCATAGCTACCTGTCCAGAATGAAATGTTTAAATCTGTTTTCTTAGGTCTGTTGGGTCTGTTGCCGTCTGTTTGCCTGCTTTCCAGTTCCCATGTCTTTCGCTGCTGTTTCTTTTGTCTCATTTTCCTAGTGGGTTAGCCATGAAAACAAAACTAAGCCAAAAACAAAACAGGTTTTTCCTAGTACTTTAGTAGAACTTCAAGAGGGAGTTAATGTAAACGCTTGTTGGATCTTCCATCTTTATGTTAAGACTTGTGGTGATCGCCCCACATTAGGTCACCTTCATAGGCTTTTGAAGTTCCAGTAGCATGTCCCAGACTAAGAATTGGAACCTTGAGTTGGGGCTGGAAAGAATGGACTAGGAGAAGTAATACTGGTCTTTTTATCTTTTTTTTTTTTTT